ACGTTAACGTTAATTTTAACGTAAACGTAAAGTACGTTAACGTTAATTTTAACGTAAACGTAAAGTACGTTAACGTTAATTCTAACGTAACGTTAATGTGACAGTCCTATCATTGATAAATAATTCATCGACTGTCACCTGTGTGTGTAAAAATATTCGATGGTATGACAAGCGGTGTCATTTATTTACAATCAGTCCTGATTCTGATCTTCAGACACTAGACTTACATTCAAATTTACAACGCAAAATAATTTATGCTTTTCCATTTAATATTGAATTTGATGCATTAGAAACAATTTTTCATGAAAACGGTGACACTGTTGACAAATTCATTATTCTGGAATCAAACTATTCAGCCTATGGAGATTCAAAACCAAGGCGTCTACATGAAAAATTACAAAATGATTCGAGTTATTTAAAGAAATTTCGTGAAAAAATTGTTTACATCTTTTTAGATCACTTTCCGGAAGATGGAAGAAAGGACGGATGGATTGCCGATAGACATATACGAGCATCCTTAGGAACATTAGGCGTTAAAAGTATCATCAATACACTCTCACCGCATGATATTATATTAGTTACAGATATCGATGAAATTATTTCGCGTGAAACTATATTAAAATTAAAGTCAAAAAATCTACCATCAGAACCATTTGGTATGGACTTTTATCGGTCAATTTACGGATACTTTTGGCGTCTTCCTGAGCCTACTAGAACTGTGAATGGTTGTACAATAAAAATGTTAAAATATGCCTTTGATTTCGATACATACGCTCTGCGTGATTGGCAAATGTCAAGACGAAAAATACAAGTTGAAGAATATGTGACACTTTTCAATATATCGAATAAAGTGTTTTATTTTCCTCGAGCGGGATGGCACTGTTCATGGTGTTTCACACCCGAAAATATAGCTATAAAATTAATATCGGCTCAAAATGGTGATTTTCCACGTTGGGGTGACTATCCAGAGAAACGTAGTATTATTTACATAAAAAACAATATTAAAAATGGTTTATGGTTTGATGGGAAATCACTTGATGCTGTAAACTTGAACATGTTAGATCCAGATTTTGCTCCACAACATGTTTTGAAAAATTTTAAGAAATACGAGCACATTATTCGAAATAAATATGAGAATGAAGCATTGTAAGACGTTAATAGATAAAAAATTTTGCATTAATAAATTGTTCGTTTTTCGCTTCAAGTTTTATTCTTTCCAGAATACAAGCGAAATAAAGCATTAGAATATTTTAAAAGTTAAACTATCAAAAAATACAAAATCAATTTTGTATAAATACGGACTCGAACATATAAACTGAGCGTGATTCTTTTTTTAATAATAAGTATGTAATGTAGAGAAAGGTACAAATAGAAAGAGAGAGAGAGAGCTGAAAGAGCCTATGAAAAAAATAATAAAAACAGACACATATTTTTATCGTTCCGAAGCGAGTTTTTCTGCCCGAGTTGACACATCTTCGATACCACAGACCATGTAAAATGCTCCTTCTAGTAAATGATTCATTTCTCCTAAACAAGACAGATCAGTTCATCATAAGTATGTTCTATCAAACACAAAAAACTCATTGTTCAAAAGCATTTTAAATCCTTTTATTGTTTCTTTGAGTGGGACAAGTTTGCCTCGTATTTCAGTAAATACTTCAGCAACCCAGCAGACATAAATGGCAACGTTTCACCACACGAAACAAAAATTGTTTATTTGTTAACATGGTATGCTGACGTAGTCACACAACAATAGTGATTACGTCTATTAGTACTGTTAGTTTTCTTTTGCACTTTTCCCTATACATTTTTTACGCATTAAAAGCATATAACGTTACACGAAAGTGCGAAAACATCAAAAAACACAAAACTTTCAATTACTTATTTGAAACGGTTGAAATAAGAAACGTTGAATTTTTCTTATACGAGATACAGCCGTGCAGTAATTCTAGAACTAGATAGGAGATGAAGCCAATATTTTTATATCATTCAACTCGCCATAATAGCATGAAAAAAGTTACGTATCGGTTTTGGAAAATATTGTTTTCTTTAATGCATATCAATGATTTTAGAAAGTAATCGTTTGGAATACAAACGTCATAATTGATATGAGAGTTGGCGTTTATTTACTCTGTTGAATTTAAACCCTATCCTTAACCCTTTACTCTTGCTTGGGTCATTTTTGATCCATTTGTCGAAATGATGTAGTGGAGTAACAAAGCATCGGATCAAGAAGCTTTATGAACATTGTGTAGAGGATTCAATAAGCTATAGATTCGTAAAAAAATAACTTTTTTTTTAATCACTTCTTGGCTAAGATATTTGAGTCTGAAAAACGGTGAATTTTCCAAAAAGTAAAACAAAATCAGACTTTTTTTTGAAGATTTTTTTTCACTTGCACAGATTGATTATTTTTGTGTTTTGGAGGGTTAATATATACTGCTTTAAGCGTCATCGATTTGCAGGAAAATGTTTAAAAATTTCTTGATTAGAGATGGGAGAGCACCACGGGTCAGCTTTGACCCATTCGGGATGAGTGACATGAAAAATGTTTTTTTTCTGTAACTATTTTGTTTATCGATGTAAACTTATAATTAACAATATATTGATATTAAAACACTTTTATTCAAACTAATAGCCATTCAAATCATAGAATTTTCAGAGAGCAGCAGCTTAGTCTTTGAAGGATAGATCAGTGTGAGAGATCACGGTTCTCACTGCTAATCTTTTTCTTTCTTTCTATCTTTCATAGTCACACATTGTTTGTTTGTTTTCTTCTGACTGTACAGTGCTCTGCTTGTTTCTTTGTAAAGACAGTTAGACTATTTATCTCCATCGCCTATTTACTCTTCTCTCATATATATATATGTTTAGTTAATTTTGCAATCGCTTTGTAATTACTAGAGACTGAGAAGCAGAACATGTGCATTGTACAATGATATCGTGCTTCGTTCTCATCATGTGAAAGTTATCGTTCTTTGTTCGATAAGAACAAGAAATAGTAACACCTTCATACGGTGTGACAGAGTTGTGTTGCTTGTCGTGCCTTAACTCTTTCTTCAAGGAAACCATCTGACGAGACCCTTGAGAAAGGTCGAAACTGATCTTGGTATCTTCTTTTGATTCTTTTAGAAATGAATTCTGTCCGAGTCTCTAGTAACGACAAAGCGGTTGTAAAATTAACTAAATAATTATTCAAGTCGAGTTGAATTATTTTTGAAAAATGAAGAACTTTCTAGCTTAATGCAGATCAAGTAAATACACAATTGCAAAAAATCGCAACAAAAATCAAATAAATAAAAAATTAAATTTCCATGTCATTCAACCCAAATGGATCGTAAATGATCCATTCTGCTCCTTCACAGTGGAAGAACTTCGCTCAAATTTAACCATATCATTGTCATATTGGGCACTCACATAAGCTATTTCTATAATGAACTCAACACCCACTCTGCTAGATTAGCACCAGAGGTTAAAGGGTTAAAGCATATTGTACAAGCTGTTTGTTTCATTTTATATTCATTTATAGCGAAATTGTACAGAAAGAAGTTTATTTAGAAAACAAAGAGACTAAAATTGTTTTGCTGATGCTTATTACACAAAAACAAACAAACAAACACACAAATAAACAAAAAAAAAATCGAGTGTGCCACCAAAAGCAATATCACAAAGTATTCGTTATGTCAGTTACAGAAAGAGATAAAAAAAAAGTAAGCCAAACAAGATATATTAAAAAAGCTATAAGATCATAAACTTAAGAATTACAGAAGAGAAAAAAAAAATAAATTGATATGTATACATATAAATAATAATTTAAATAAAATGAATTGCAACACCTGTTTAAATCACATACTCACTATATAGAATATAGTACCCATAACACAGCCATAAATAACCGTTCTTTTATCTTGTTTAGTAATAAACAGTAGAAAAAGAAAAAAAATAATAACAACCCGAAAATCACATACAGTTATAATTAATTAAAGTTTTGAAAGACGAATGGAATAAAACTGTTGATGAAGATAAGTTTGACCTGATTTTTGACTTTCAACTATAGAATAAAAATAATAGCACAAAATACAAAACAAAAAAAAGAGAAAAAAGTAACATCCGTATAGTGAAATCTGGAATGTATAATAGATTAATACACGTTTAATCTTCGTTTGCACATAAATAGACATAAATAAGAAAAATAGCGATTTTAGTAGAAAAAGAGCTAAAAATACAAAAGCTAAAAGAATTTCTGTTCATTGGCGTCTGATGTTGTAAAATAATGACGACAGCACAAGTAAAAGGAATATAAAACAATTTTTTATTATGGTTAATGATGCACACTAAATAAAAAGAAAAAACAAGGCATAATCAATCTGTTATACAATTCGACTCTGATCATATCTATCTACTTCATGATAGGTTTGCACGATTCACTGTAGACAAGTGTCTGTGAAAAAGGGAAGAAATATGTAAATGTTTAATAGTAAAGATAGAGAATGCTGTATCTGACAATTAATTCGTTTTTTTTTAGGTTTTGCTAAACTTAACATGAAACACAGAAATCAAGTGTTATTGTTCGATGAGGATGTTTATATGTGAAAATTTGACGGAAAATAATTCCTCGTATTTCACTCCTACCCTCACAAAACCTTTGTTTTTATGAGCAAACAAAAAAAACCTTGTTTTTTGTTACTTTACCAGAAGTAACAAAGTAACAAGTAACAAATTTTTGTTACTTTACTGGTAAAGTAACACCGAGTAACAAAGTAAACAGTCATTCATGAATCATGATGTGCAAAGAGTACTGGTCATTTAATTCATCTCTACAAGAATTATACAATCCAGTAATGCGCGTACATTGATGAAAGTCTGCGCTTGCACACGAATATTTTTTCTGATCAACTTACGTTATAATACAATAACATCAAAAAGTGGATATTCAAACAAATCCAGAACCATATCGATGATGTTTAAGATCTAAAAAAACTTTTATTGATTAATTAATAACACTTGGAAAAGGAAGGCAGGCATGTATATAATATATAATCATTTGGTTTTAGAAAGTGTATTGTGTGAACGGACTGATTCATGAATATCATAACTAGTACGATCTCACACAGTTTTAATGTTAAATTAGAAAAAATTTTAAGAAACAAAATTTGTGCTACAGGTTATTCCATTTATTTTAAAATGATTTGCTTGGACTTTTTCTTCATTAGTGACTTACACAAACTTCATGATTCTTAAATCAGTTTACCCCATTGACACTGCAGCTGTTGTCATAGTATTTGTATTTTAGGTAAATACTTAATAAAATATCTGATAATACTGAAGGGATCGTCATATATCTTTTGACGGCAAAAGAGTCATACTCTGTGACACAAGAATTATCTGAAATGAATCTGTATGTATCAAAAGGTACCATTAGTTGTAACGCTAACAATGTTGGAAAACAGTGCCAGTTGGATTTAGTAAAAAAACAAAAACAATAATTTTATCCTTGACATCATATAGCAACATCTGCGATTGTTCACCGTATTATATAATATACAAATAAAGAAAATCTTCAACTATTTCATTAATGGCTGCAAGATGTCATATCAGTGGTGGTACGATTTTTCGTGTTATTCGTGATATTACCCATGCAAAATGTCATAAGACCAGTACATCGTTTACATCCAACTGTTATCGAAAAGAGACGATCTACGTATAATATGATAAGCAAATGTTGCTATATGATGTCAAGGATAAAATTATTGTTTTTGTTTTTTTACTAAATCCAACTGGCACTGTTTTCCAACATTGTTAGCGATACAGCTAATGGTACTTTTTGATACACACAGATTTATATCAGATAATTCTTGTTGTCCCATCGAGTATGACTATTTTGCCGTCAAAAGATATATGACGATCCCTTCAGTATTATCAGATATTTTATTAAGTATTTACCTAAAATATAAATACTATGACAACATCTGCAGTGTCAATGGGGTAAACTGATTTAAGAATCATGAACTCCGTGTACGTCACTAATGAAGAAAAAGCCCATGCAAATCATTTCAAAATAAATGGAATGACACCCGTATATAGGGTGGTCCAGAAAAAATGGTGGTATCAGTATTTTGGCTATAACTTTTTTTTCTTTTCAAACCTTAGACCTGATTGTTTTTTCAAAAGATACGTCGTCAAATTCTCTACAAAATGTGATCAGATGATTTCTAGAGAAAAAGGAGAAAAATCAAACGAAGAATACTCTCAACACGTAGAAATGGATCAACTGTCTAAGCTGCAACACGGTCTTGTCCAACTACTGTCATTGCAATGTATGATATAAAAGAAGATAACATACGCATTTTATAGCCCTTGAAAACCTCTATCAGCCTGTTTAGGTGAAGAATTGCTAAATCAATCTTTGAGATTTGCATCGATTTTCTCTTCTTTGAAACTTTCGAAAATTCTGCTATTTAATTCTGTAGTTTCGGAGCTCCTGAAAAACGTCGCATAACGGAGCCAAAATAGAAACTTTTAAGCTTGGATTTTTTCAATTTTGACGAGAAATAACTCCTGTACCAGATTCAGCGGCGAAAGTTTGTCTTAAAGTTTTCTTCTTAAATCCAGCTGGCGAAAAATAGCAGATTTTGGTCATTTTGAAATAAATTTTGAAATGTTAGTTTTTTCAATGCTCATTTTGATTCAACGAACTTTGAACTGCATGACGAGAAAGAGCGCACTTGAAAGTACTCAATAACATTTTCACTTCTGCTTCGTTGTCTTTAGAGTTGTTTAAAATACTCGAAAGTTTGCAAATCAAAATAGCTTAGAAAGTTGGCCCGTTTCTACGTGTTGAGTATTCTTCGTTTAATTTTTCACCTTAACTTTTTCTAGAAATCAGTCTAATCAAATTTTGTAGAGAATTTGGCAGCGCATCTTTTGGAAAAACAATCAAGTCTAAAGGCTGAAAAGAAAAAAAGTTATAGTCAAAATACTGACACCGCCATTTTCCCTCGACCACTCAGTATACAGAATATATATGTCTTGCATTTTACCTGTTATTATTGTTGTATCTTCTACTACTGTCATGTGCATTTCTCGGTCTTTCCACGGAACTATATCGTCTTTGTCCATTACCACTACTCTGATGAGTACTACGACGTTGTTGTATGGGTGAACGTGATCTAAATTTCCATTAAACATTTTCAACATCAGTACCAGTTAAACATCCAAATGATTGGCCCATTAATCCAAACACGTCATCAACAACAGACCATATATAAGTGGAAAACGAATGCTTCCAATCACGTACATACACAAAGCAAGAAACATTTTCTGACTAGTCAACAGCACGAACTTTGTTTATTCCAAACCCAAATGGAAGGCAGATAGTATCCAAGTATCGTATACTACATCCACAGACGAGACTTTCCTCCTTCATCTTTCTTAAATCTCCCACTTTGTAATGCTTTGTGTGTGTGTGACAGTGTGAACTATTCAAGGAACATAACTGAGATATAAAATCAAACTCGATTAACATATGGTATTACTTTACTGATATAATATTTCTAAGTAGGTTGGATAATTGATCGTACTTTTTCTTCTTTTTTTTATTATTAATATTTACCTCGATGATCGATTATGTTGACGTCTATCATCTCTTCCTCCACGATCATCATCTTTTCGGCGTGATGACGAGATTCTACTATGTGATACACCGTCACAGTCACGACTAAACATAAAACAATACTTTACGTAACTATTAATACATTTTCATATGTTTATTTACCTAAAATGTCCACGTTGACCACATTTATAACAACGCATACTTGGATCATATCTTCTTGGACGATTTCTTATACGTGGACCTTAAAAGAACGAAATTGAGTAAGTAGAACCAATCTTGCTGTTACAAATTTAAGATTATTTATACTTACGTGCCCATGTAACTCTAACTCGTGTTCCATTAAATGATCTTAACAAAAAATATGTATTGATAATAATTCCAAGGAAAAAAAAGAATTATAAAGTTATGCTAAAGATAGTAATTATCAAGGAGTATGTTTAAATTTTCACAAACACAATAAGATCGTTGACTTCTTACACGATATACTCTCTGCATAAAAGGAATTCTATCTAGACAGCAATGCTCTTTGATCCAAAGTATCGTTCAACTTTAAACATCATACCTCCCATCCATGGCATCAACTGCTTTTTGTGCATCTTCTTTATATTTATAAACAACAAATGCAAAACAGGAGGCTTGTGCATGCCAAACTTCTAAATGAAAAAACAACAACAACAACGAATTGAACGGTGAAATTAATTGATAATAGAAACATTCCACTCACCTAATATAGGTCCAAAAGATTCGAATGTTTTTTCAATTTCTTTTTGTCTACAACTTTTTGATAATTCGGCTATATGAATTCTGAATTGATCATCTCGATTATTGTGACCATTATCATAACCGCTGCCACCACCGCGATAATCACGGGAATCATAATCAGGTGGCGAATGAGAACGAAGAGTAGGAGATCTTGAACGGGGCATAATGTATCTGAAGAAAAAAAATATAGATATAAACATATCATTAGTTTCTGAAAAAATGAAAACTAACGTAATTGAAGGTTAAATTGGTTATGAAATAAAACAGGCTGTGGACATGCAACATATAATTTATCCCTTAGAAGTAGTCACTCTAGGTCTTTATTGACAACTAAATACAGAGATAATGAATCTGACGGATTTTTTTCGATATGATGCAAAAAATAGAGATTTTCTCACATATATAAACTGTCGAAAGGTAATCACTTTCTTTTGTTGTTCAAATTAAATATTTTTACTTCTTAATAACATCTAAAATGAATGAATAATATTTTTTTACTGCTACATATATCATGTATAAAATAATTACAACATATTTACGCTGTGCCCTTTCCTGTAGGATCGAGATGTTCAACAGCAACAAATGAAAACATGAGAAAGTAAATATTTTGAAGTGTTATTAGTTTAACAACGTCCAATTGTAAACATGTATTGTCAACATGTTTACAATTGGAAATAAAAGAAATACTACATAGACAGAAAACCATATGCTAATTTCGGATACTTCTCTAAGAACAGTTTGATTTTTTTAAATAAAAAAAAGAACGCAAAGTACCATGTGTGTTAGAATGAAAAGAGGCTAAACAATGACAAAGAAATAAGAAAACGTTATAGAAAATATATTATAATTTTATCTCATTCGATTTATTTTTAATAAGACGCTATCTCTCTACATCGTATGGTTAGCAAACAAATTATTTATCACCAAACAATCAGCTTTTGTTAAAGTAGATAATTGTTAATTAGATGCTGAAATGTAATGAATGACACATACAATGTGCCAAGAGGGGGAGGGGGGGGGATCGAGAATCAATCGTAGGCACGTGTCTGCACATATGTATAAGTTGTAACCTATTCGCTTAGTAGCTATAAATTGAACAAGGTATGTGCGTAATAAAAGTATGTTGGAAAATTATCTT